CAGAGCCCATGTGTGTCCTAATGCCAGAGTCCATGTGTGTCCTAATGCCAGAGCCCATGTGTGTCCTAATGCCAGAGCCCATGTGTGTCCTAATGCCAGAGCCCATGGGTGTCCTAATGCCAGAGCCCATGTGTGTCCTAATGCCAGAGCCCATGTGTGTCCTAATGCCAGAGCCCATGTGTGTCCTAATGCCAGAGCCCATGGGTGTCCTAATGCCAGAGCCCATGTGTGTCCTAATGCCAGAGCCCATGGGTGTCCTAATACCAGAGCCCATGGGTGTCCTAATGCCAGAGCCCATGTGTGTCTGCGAGCAGGAGTTGTGACAGAGAGAGCTTCCCATTTTGTGCAGACATGGGATATACATTTTAAAATAAATTACAAATATAATCTATTTAATCTCACCTGAGCGACCCATACATGAAGGAGAAGTCCTCCTGCAGGTAGCCAAGACAGAAAGATAAACGCGGTCAGAGACACACTAAGGCAGCACCGCCCCCTCAAATCTGAGCAGGGTTGGGCCAACAAATCCAAAGCCCCGGGTGGGTGAGCATAATATACAGTACAACTGATCAGTCCCTACACCCAAACGAGGGCATTGCATTCATCCACCTCTGGCCTGCTGGCCCCCCTACCTCTGCGGAAGCACAGTTCCCGCTCAGCCCAGTCAAAACTGTTCGCTGCTCTGGCACCCCAATGGTGGAACAAGCTCCCTCACGACGCCAGGACAGCGGAGTCACTCACCACCTTCCGGAGACACTTGAAACCCCACCTCTTTAAGGAATACCTGGGATAGGATAAAGTAATCCTTCTACCCCCCCCCCCCCCCCCCCCCAAAAAATAAAAATAAAATGTAAAGTGGTTATCCCACTGGCTATAAGGTGAATGCACCAATTTGTAAGTCGCTCTTGATAAGAACGTATGCTAAATGATGTAAATGTAAATGAAACTAATTTCTCAAAGCTGCTAATGAGAACCTTGACGACCTAGCCGGTGGGAATTCCGGTGGTAGTGGCAGTGCTGGCAACACTAGCTGCAGTAACCCATGGGGACGGGGTAACACTCGGACAATCAGAGAGGGGGCAAATTATTGTGGCCCTGGTGGCACAAAATCATCAAATGTCTGACTGCACAGAGATGCATGATGGGAAAATGGTCTTAAACTGTCAAGAGGAACAACATAGTTAACAACAAGGTTGTCCACTATCAGCCTATCTATTTATTATAGCTGTTAAAATCAGATCCAACAATAATATCAAGGGGCTAGAAATCCAGGGCTTAAAAACAAAGGTGTCATTGTATGCTGATGATTCATGTTTTCTTTTAATCCACAATTTGGATCCCTCCATTGCCTCATTGAGGATCTAGATAATGTATCTAACCTCTCTGGATTACAACAAAATTATGATGTGTACTATATTACCAAAAAATAAAACTTTTACATTACTGTGTAGTTTACCAATAAAATGATCTGACGGTGATGTGGATATATTCGGTATTCATATCCCGAAAGAAGGAAATGATCTCACTACAATACATTTTTAATAGAAAGTTAGCAAAAAGAGAGAAGATATTGCTACCATGGAAAATACCCTGATTAACTCTTTAGTCATATTCCAGTTTATGTATTTGCTTATGGTCTTGCCTACACTTAGCAACCTGTTTTTTTAAATTATATGAGCAAAAAATATTCAGACAAAATTAAATGGACCTATTTATATAATGCATATGAATTCAGAGGCAGAAATTATTAAATATTAAAGCATTAGACCTATCACTAAAGACTTCAGTCATACAAAAGCTATACTTAAATCCGAACTGGTTCTCTAGCAGACTAGTAAGAATTGCTCACCCAGTGTTCAAGAATGGCCTTTTTCCCTTTATTCAGATTACAACCTCTCACATTCGGTTATGTTAAAAATGAAATCATCTCCCAAATATCGCTATTTTTAAAACAAGCCATAGAAAATTGGTTGCAATTTCAGTTTAATCCAATAGAAAAGACAAAACAAACATTACAACAAATATTATGGTTAAACTCAAATAAACTAAAAAAAACATTATTTTTGGAGAAAGAAAAATACGGTATAATATTTGTAAATTATATCATAAATAGGACTGGTGGAGTTATGTCAGCTAACAAAAATATGTGGAAATGTCTGCTCTATCCAAAATTACAACCAACTAATGGTAGTATTACCGCAGAAATGGAAGAGGAAAGTGGAGATGGGAAAACATAAGGAACGTGTCTGTTGGCCCTGCATTATAAACCAAAATTGACTAAAGAAAATTGTGATAAATAAAAAAGTATACCAGTTTCACTGGACAACAACACAAAAAATGTCCCGCTGTGCCATACAGATTGCAAAATAGTTGAGAAGAGAGTTTCGATGTACCGATTCCATGGCACATGGTTTATGAACTGATACACCAAACGACGCCGGATTCAAAACTTTACATTATTATATAAAATTCTTGCAACCAATACATTTTACATTTTAGTCATTTAGCAGACGCTCTTATCCAGACCGACTTACAGTTAGTGAGTGCATACATTATTTTTTTTATTTTTCATACTGGCCCCCTGTGGGAATCAAACCCACAACCCTGGCGTTGCAAACGCCATGCTCTACCAACTGAGCTACATCCCTGCCGGCCATTCCCTCCCCTACCCTGGACGACGCTGGGCCAATTGTGCGCCGCCTCATGGGTCTCCCGGTCTCCCGGTCGCGGCCGACTACGACAGAGCCTGGATTCGAACCAGGATCTCTAGTGGCACAGTTACCACTGCGCCACTCGGGAGGTCGATAGAATGCTATATATATGGGGGATACAACCATCCCAGCTCTGCAGATTTTGCTGCGAAAAGACAGACTCATTAGATAATTTGTTTTGTTGCTGTCCATATGTAGCTTGTTTTTGGTTGCAGGTTCAGGAATGGCTGAAGAATTGCAATATTTACCTGGAGTTAACTCTGCAAATAGCACTGCTGGGTGATCTGAAAAGTCATAGTCAATTGATCAATAATACAATAATAATCTTAGCAAAAATGTTTCTCTTTAATTTACCAATTTACGATCTGTAGAAACTATGAGAATAGAAAGGTTCAGAGCTTTTGTAAGACATCACAGTACAGTTGAAATATATATGGCAAATAGAAATCCTATATGGATGGTGTTAAGAGATAGATGGGTGGTGTTGGATGGAGTTGAAGGATGGGACTAATAACAAATAACAACAAATAACAATAACAAGATAACTAATAATGTAAGCACGCTGTGTCCATAATAAGTGTATGGGTTGTAGGTTGGGAGCTTTTGGGAAAGAGCACAGTTAGAAAGATATGGCATATAGAAGCAAACCGGATGGACATCATGAAAATGATTGGAGAGGTTGAGAGTAGAAGAAGTTCAGGAGAAAGAACAAACAAAATGTAATTACTGTAAAATTGACTGTGTTCATAAAATGTAGATAGTAAGTATAAGCTGGAAGTAGAGGCCTAAGCATTGTTGTTCACTAGTTTACTCCAAGTGGGGAAAGGGTGGCCGGGTTGGAAAGTAATAAAGGGGAATATATATATATTTTTTATATATATATATATCTATATCTAAATCTATATATATATATATATATATATATATATATATATATATATATAGATATGTATATGTATGTATGTGTGTATATGTGTATATATATATATATATATATATATATATATATATATATATAAAACATGGGGGATTGGAAGTGATGCAGACAATTACATTGATGGAAGTTACAATCTATCTGCAATATTAAGCTGATCTACCAAAAAAATACAACAAAAAAACTTAAAGAGAACGTGTTGTCAGTTACCTGGTAAAATAATAATCAATGCCATTATAGTCATTTAGTAGACACTCTTATCCAGCTAAGTGTTTGTCTATGTCTTATAACAGCATGTTTTGAAGCCTCTTGTCTGTCTACAGTAGGTTACGCCACAGTAACAACCCCCCACCACGCGCTGCTTCTCGCCCACGCTATTGGAGGCTGGCTTGATTGACGTGGGGATCAGCCTTGCTGATGGGCCAAGGCAGAATAGGAAAGGGTCCCTGGACCAATGGGCTGCGCCGAGGGCAGGGTGTTGCTAGTGAAGGCGGAGCTCCCAGTGTTAGGGCTACTTAAACACGAGAGGTGCGGAGAACACACACAGGGCTGCGGGAGGATTGGGGGAAAGAAGACAAGTGGAAGAGAGAGAGACAGAAAACCACCGATGGAACGGCAGGATATATAACCGTTTGCCCTGGTCTCGTGCAGGTAACCATTACTATTTATCCGTCTTCCACACACGGTGCGTGAAAGGTTCAATCATCCGTTATTCTCCCATGGTGCGTCTGTCTGGCGGGACAGAGATCATCTGTAGCTTTTTGTCAGGGTGACTCTTTTCTTTCTACATAGACGAGGGGAGGCACCGAGCGCTCTCTCTCTCTCTCTCTCTCTCTCTGTTCCCTTTTTAACTGTCGCTTTTCTGGCCTGCTCTCTTTCTCTCTCCAGCCCAGCTGTTTTCTTATTTAGTCCACCACAGTAAATTACTGGCACGGGATGGATTGAGAGTGATGGACTAAATCATTGTTTGTGTTGTGGTCTTTCAAAGGATCGCGGTTCAGTAACTGGAGAGTTGATGATGTACCTCACTACGTGACTGTGGACTGTTTTCACTTGATGCTGAAGTGTTTGAGTCTAGCTAATAGCCGACCAGTGCAGTCTACCGGGCAGTGCGCGCAGACATAAACCTCTAACTACATCGCTCTAGTGAAAGTATTTTATATTTCTCCACTTCGTGATTTAGTGTAGGGATCCTATTGTGGGATTCTTTTTTTGTTCTTTCCCAACATTCACGTCTCTGTCCCCTTCTCTCTTCCCCGCTCCTCACCCCCTAACCTTCCCCTCACCTCCTAACCTCCCCCCCCTCCCCCAGACACATTATTCCATGCCTCTCCTCTGCCGGGGCTTTGTCATTGATGGGAAACCACCTGGACCGGATAACCCACCTCAGCTACAGCGAGCTGCCCACCGGAGATCCGTCCGGACTGGAGAAAGAGGAGCTCAGAGTTGGAGTGGCATACTTCTTCTCAGACGAAGAAGAGGAGGTGGATATTATTTTTGTATATTTTTTCAATATGTTGCAACTTTGTTAATTGTACTGTGTGTATCAGTGCAACCAGGGATCCTCTGAACACATCAACAACTGCCTCCTACCAAGCACCGTTACCCGTCGCTCCACCAAAGCGGTAACAACTACTTCAAGGTCTCAGAGCGAGCGTCGTCACCGATTTTAAACGCTACTATCGCACACCGCTTACTAGCTAGTCATTTCACACCAGTTACACATGTTTCATGTGCATATGACAAATTAACTTGGATTTTGTTACATCTTTTCTTTCAATATATATTTTTTCTGTAGGCCTATATTTTATATAATATATCTTTGTGCTTTATTGGTGTTTTTATTGAAGTGTGAAAATATTTGTGCCTTGTTTTTTTTCCCTAGGCTACTTATTGCATGTATATGTTATATGTATACTTTTTTTTTAATGTACTTTACTCAAACCAGTGAAAATCACTTATTATAAATAAGGTCATTAACTATCAGCTCTTGGAAAATCCAGGGCCTGTATTCTTCTCATTTTGGTTCTATAATATATATTTCTACTATATATATACTTCTATAATATCTTTCGTGTGTGTGTGTGTGTGTGTGTGTGTGTGTATATACAGCTGCGGAAAAAAATAGAGACCACTGCAAAATTATCAGTTTCTCTGGTTTGACGATTTATAGGTATGTGTTTGGGGAAAAAATTACATTTTTGTTTTATTCTATAAACTACTGACAACATTTCTCCCAAATTCCAAATAAAAATATTGTCATTTAGAGCAGTTATTTGCAGAAAATGACAACTGTTCAAAATAACAAAAAAGATGCAGTGTTGTCAGACCTCGAATAATGCAAAGAAAAGAAGTTCATGTTCATTTTTAAACAACACAATACTAGTGTTTTAACTAAGGAACAGTTCAGAAATCAATATTTGGTGGAATATCCCTGATTTTCAATCACAGCTTTCATGCGTCTTGGCATGCTCTCCACCAGTCTTTCACATTGATGTTGGGTGACTTTATGCCACTCCTGGCGCAAAAATACAAGCAGCTCGGCTTTGTTTGATGGCTTGTCACCATCCATCTTCCTCTTGATCACATTCCAGAAGTTTTCAATGGGGTTCAGGTCTAGAGATTGGGCTGGCCATGACAGGGTCTTGATCCATCCACACCTTGATTGACCTGGCTGTGTGACATGGCGCATTGTCCTGCTGGAAAAACCAATCCTCAGAGTTGTCAGAGCAAAAGGAAACAAGTTTTCTTCCAGGACAACCTTGTACGTGGCTTGATTCATGCGTCCTTCACAAAGACAAATCTGCCAGATTCCAGCCTTGCTGAAGCACCCCCAGATCATCACAGATCCTCCACCAAATTTCACAGTGGGTGCGAGACACTGTGGCTTGTAGGCCTCTCCAGGTCTCCGTCTAACCATTAGACGACCAGGTGTTGGGCAAAGCTGAAAATTGGACTCATCAGAGAAGATTACCTTACTCCAGTCCTGTACGGTCCAACCCTTATGGTCTTTGGCAAACCTCAGCCTGGCTCTTCTTTGCTTCTCATTGATGAAGGGCTTTTTTCTAGCTTTGCACGACTTCAGCCCTGCCCCTAGGTGCCTGTTTCGAACCGTCCTCGCCGTGCACTTCACCCCAGCTGCCGTTTGCCATTCTTTTTGTAGGTCCCTTGATGTCATCCTATGGTTGTTGAGTGACATTCGAATGAGTTGGCGGTCATCCCGGTCAGTAGAGAATCGTTTTCGCCCTCAGCCGGTCTGTAGCTTTGTTGTCCCCAATGTCTGCTGCTTGACCTTGTTCTTATGAACCGCCGTCTTTGAAATGTTAAGGATGGAAGCAACCTGACGCTCACTGTATCCCTCTGCCAGTAAAGCCAGAATTGAACCCTTCTTTTCCTCACTCAAAACTCTCCTTTTCAACTCTTTTGGCATGGTCAATAGTTATTTTTTGATTAATATTACTTTTGAGGTACTATTAACACTGTTTTTGCCATCCAGCTGGTCCTATTGCAAGAGGATAGTGATGACCACAGCAGTGGTTTTTATACTTTTCCTCGTTAAATAAGTGAATAAGTGGTTCATGTGATCACCTAATCAGTACCTAATTCAGTAGAATGAGGTGTGCCTGTGTTGGAATTCAACAGACACTGGAATGGAATGGCTGTCATACATGTAGAGATGCTGATTTAAGAAACATTTGGTCTCTTAATTTTTTTTCCACAGCTGTATATACACTTAGGTTGGAATCATTAAAACTCATTTTTCAACCACTCCACACATTTCTTGTTAACAAACTATAGTTTTGGCAAGTCGGTTAGGACATCTACTTTGTGCACGACACAAGTAATTTTTCCAACAATTATTTACAGACTGTGCCTTTAAACAGCTTGGAAAATTCCAGAAAATTATGTAATGGAAGCTTCTGATAGGCTAATTGACATCATTTGAGTTAATTGGAGGTGTACCTGTGGATGTATTTCAAGGCCTACCTTCAAACTCAGTGCCTCTTTGCTAGAAATCAAGGGAAAATCAAAATAAATCAGCCAAGACCTCAGAAAAAGAATAGTAGACCTCCACAAGTCTGGTTCATCCTTGGGAGCAATTTCCAAACGCCTGAAGGTACCACGCTCATCTGTACAAACAATAGTATGCAAGTATAAACACCAAGGGACCACGCAGCCGTCATACTGCTCAGGAAGGAGATGCGTTCTGTCTCCTAGAGACGAACGTACTTTGGTGCAAAAAGTGCAAATCAATCCCAGAACAACAGCAAAGGACCTTGTGAAGAAGCTGAAGGAAACAGGTACAAAAGTATCTATATCCACAGTAAAACGAGTCCTATATCGACATAACCTGAAAGGCTGCTCAGCAAGAAAGAAGCCACTGCTCCAAAACCGCCATTAAAAAAGCCAGACTACGGTTTGCAACTGCTAATGGGGACAAATCTCGTACTTTTTGGAGAAATGTCCTCTGGTCTGATGAAACAAAAATAGAATTGTTTGGCCATAATGACCATCGTTATGTTTGGAGGAAAAAGGGGGATGCTTGCAAGCCAAAGAACACCATCCCAACCGTGAAGCACTAGGGTGGCAGCATCATGCTGTGGGGGTGCTTTGCTGCAGGAGGGACTGGTGCACTTCACAAAATAGATGGCATCATGAGGAAGGAAAATTATGTGGATATATTGAAGCAACATCTCAAGTCATCAGTCAGGAAGTTAAAGCTTGGTCGCAAATGGGTCTTCCAAATGGACAATGACCCCAAGCATACTTCCAAAGTTGTGGCAAAATGGCTTAAGGACAACAAAGTCAAGGTATTGGAGTGGCCATCACAAAGCCCTGACCTCAATCCTATAGAACATTTGTGGGCAGAACTGAAAAAGCGTGTGCGAGCAAGGAGGCCTACAAACCTGACTCAGTTACACCAGCTCTGTCAGGAGGAATGGGCCAAAATTCACCCAACTTATTGTGGGAAGCTTGTGGAAGGCTACCCGAAACGTTTGACCCAAGTTAAACAATTTAAAGGCAATTATACCAAATACTAATTGAGTGTATGTAAATATCTGACCCATTGGGAATGTGATAAAATAAATAAAAGCTGAAATAAATCATTCTCTCTACTATTATTCTGACATTTCACATTTTTAAAATCAAGTGGTGATCCTAACTGACCTATGACAGGGACTTTTTACTAGGATTAAATGTCAGGAATTGTGAAACACTGAGTTGAAATGTATTTGGCTAAGGTGTATGTAAACTTTCGACTTCAGCTGTGTGTGTGTGTGTGTATATATATATATATATATATATACACACACACACACACACACACACACACTACCGGTTTAAAAGTTTTACTCATTCAAGGGTTTTTCTTTATTTTCACTATACTCTACATTGTAGAATAATAGTGAAGACATCAAATATAATTTGATTTCAGGTGGACGACGCAGGAGGTGGCGGAGGAGGTTACACCAGCCAGGAGGGCCCCGGGGCGGTCAGCGAGCTGGAGTACTCCGCCTTCTGCTCCCAGGAATGCATCTTCTCCAAACTGCGCGCGAACGAGGATTTGAACGTGTACTCCACCAAAACTTTGCTCTCCATGTGCAAGCCAGGGGACCTTGTGGAGCTAGTATCCACCTCCCAGGCACCTCACTGGGCTGTGTACGAGCTCAACGACCAGGTGATACACCTGCATGAGGGGGAGATACGGAAGGACAGCCTGACTGAGATAGGACAGGGCCGGCACGGACGGATAGTGAACAGCCGCTACCGCTTCCGGCCGCTGCCCTCCGACCTGGTGCTGCAGAACGCCACTGGCCACCTGGGCCTACGCAGCGGGGACATCTGCTGGACCAGCTCTGAGAGCTTCGCCGCCTGGTGCCGCTTCGGGAAGCGGGAGTTCAAGGCGGGAGGCGAGGCACACTCGGCAGAGCAACAGTACTTTCTCAAAGTGCATCTCGGTGCCGGGACTCGGAATGGACACACGCTGGTGTTCCGTAGCCTCGAGGATATGATCCGGGAGAGGAGGAGGGTTGACGCTAGTGGGATTCGGAAGGAGCTGTCTTTAGGGGTCAACGGCGGAAAGGAGTGATGATTGATTTGGAATTCTGTTTGATATGATGGGCTAACTCTCTTATCCTGCTCTCTTGTCCTCTCTGAGAGAGAGAGAAGAGGGGAGGGGGGGAGAGAGAGAGGAGGAGAACGGGGGGGGGGGAGAGAAGGCGAAGGGGGGGGGGGGAGAGAATAGAAATGGTGGTAGAGAAGAGAAGGAGAGGATGGTGGGAGAGAAGAGAGAGAGGATATGGCGGGTGCAGACGCTAGAGAGGTCTTGCGCTTCTGGTTCGCCTCTGCTCTTCGTCTCTCGCGGTCGTCTCTCGCTGCTTCTCCCGCTCTTTTTTTGTTTCGCCTTCTCTTCTTTTTTCTCTCCTCTCTTTGTCTCGCTGCTCCTTTTTTGGGGTTTTTCCCTCTCCTTTTTGTCTACCGTTTTTTGTTTTTTCCTCGTCCTCGCCTGTTTTCGCTCTCCGTTTTTTTCGGGGGGGAGAGAGAGATGGTTGTTGCAGGTGACTGTGTCTGTAACACGTGGGGGAGATATGTGATCTTTTATTAAAGGGCAAAGAAGAAAATAGCCTACAAGGACGACACAGACAAACGTTCATGTAAACATTGACAACTGCTCTTGTCTTTCTGCTCTGACCCTGTACCTTTAAAAGCCACGACTCGACTCGCTTGCTTTTTTATTCTCCCGCTGCATTCTCTTTCTCTGCACCTGCTGCTGGTTCTGCTGGTTCTGGTGGTTCTGCTGCTGCTGCTGGTTCTGGTGCTTATGGTTCTGGTGCTTCTGGTGCTGCTGGTTCTGCTGGTGCTGGTGGTGCTGCTGCTGCAGCAGACTATGGCAAGAGAGAGAGAGAGAAAGAGAGAGAGAAAGAGAGAGAAAAGGTGAGATGTCTGTTGGATTTCCCCGGAGAGACTCTGTTCTATTTTTTTACTCTGCTTGACATTAAAAACCTGGGACTGAACGAACACAGGAATCCAACCTTAACCACCTATTCATGTTGTAATGTAGCCTACCAGACAGACAGATAGACGGACAGACAGACAGACAGACAGATGGACAGGCAAGACACCATGTTGTTCTGTTTTCTGCTCCCTGGTGTTTGTTCGGAGAGCTACATTCATACATTGATTGGTTTGAATTTGAGTCCCATATTTTTGTATTTGAGTCGGTGACTTCTTTCTCCCTGATTGGTTGATTTTCTGTTCTAATAAACAGGAGGTTGCAACATGAAATGCTTTTCTGGTCTGAGAGATAATGCTCTTAAGCACACACACACACACACACACACAACGAGACATAAAACATTGATCATAGCGCACGTATAGCTGGTGACCATGCCTCGTGCGGCCAGGGGGGGCAGCCCTGTCCTATCTTTACAATTCTGGATTTGGATATGGTTTCCCCCCAGTCGTAACGTAGCGACCAGCGGGAACAGCGTTTTGGGATCTGGATAAAGGCTTGATGGCTCCAATCAGTTCATGACTGTTGCCTCAGGCGATTATTGGAGTGTGGGACGGGAGGAGTAGAGAGAGTGTGTTATTTCTGTTCCCTGTGGTGCTGGTGAGAATATAGCACTACTGAGAGAAGTGGGAGTGGATGGAGAGAGATATGAGAGAGAGAGAGACAGAGAAATAGACAGGGGGAGAGAGAGAAGAGGGAGAGTGAGAGAGAAAGGGGGAGAGAGAGGAGAGGAGAGAAGAAGGAGCGCAACGAGGAGAGAGAGAGAGGAGAGAATGAGAGAGAGAGAGAGGAGAGAGAAGAAGAGAGAGAGAGAGAGAGAGTGAGAGGAGGAGGAGTGGGAGATGGAGAGAGAGAGGAGAGAGAGAGAAGGAGGAGGGGAGAGAGAGAGAGGAGAGAACGAGAGAGATGAGGACGATGCAGAGAGAGAGAGAGAGGAGAGAGAGAGGAGAGAGACGGTGAGAGGAGGAGAGAGGCCTGGGAGGAGCGAGAGAGAGAGAGAGAGAAGAATATGAGAGACGAGAGAGAGAGGAAGAGACCCAGCACATCACAACACAGTTCTACTAGACCGGCCCCTTCACAAACACAGCTCTACTGACCCCATCACAACACAGCTCTACTAGACCCCATCACAACACGCTCTACTAGACCCCACCACAAAACAGCTCTACTAGGACCCATCACAAACACAGCTCTACTAGAACCCCATCACAACACAGCTCTACTAGACCCACTAACAAACAACTCTCTAGACCCGGCCCCCCATCACAACACAGCTCTACTAGACCCCATCACAACACGCTCTACTCGACCCCATGCACAACACACGCTTATACTAGACCCCATCACAACACAGCTATTAGACCCCATCACAACACAGCCTCTTACTAGACCCCATCACAAAACAGCTTAATAGACCAGACCCATCACAACCACAGCTCTATAGACACCATCACAACACAGCTCTACTAGACCCATCACAACACCGCCTTACTCGGAACCCGGCCCATCACAACACAGCTCTACAGAACCATAACAACACAGCTTACTAGACCCGTCCCATCACAACACAGTCAGTTATACTAGCCCATCACAACACAGCTCGTACTAGACCCGTACCATCACAACCACAGTCGACCTAGACCCCAATCACAACAAACGCTCTACTAGACCAGCCCATCACAACACAGCTCTACTAGACCCCATCACAACACGCTCTACAGACCGTCCATCACAACCCAGCTCTACTAGACCCATCACAACACAGCTCTACTAGACCAGACCCCATCACAAAACAGCTCTACTAGACCCCATCACAACACAGCTCTTACTAGCCCCCATCACAACACAGCTCTACTAGACCAGACCCTCACAACAAAGCCTCTACTAGACCCCGGCCCACACAACCAAAGCTCTACAGACCACCATCACAACACAGCTCTACTAGACCCCATCCACACGCTCTAACTAGAACCCCATCAGCAACACAGCTCTACTAGACCCATCACAACACAGCTCTACTGACCTGGACCCCATCCACAACACAGCTCTTTACTAGACCAGGCCCATAAACACAGTCTACTAGACCCAATCACACACAGCTCTACTAGGACCCCATCACAACAAAAGCTTCTACTAGACCCCATCACAACACAGCTCTACTAGACCCCCATTCACAACACAGCTCTATAGGACCCCATAACAAACACAGCTCTACTAGACCCCAGACCCATCACAACACAGCTTACTAGACCCAATAACAACACAGCTCTACTAGACCCCATCACAACACAGCTCTACTAGACCCATACAACACAGCTCTTTAATAGACCCCATCACAAACCGTCTACGAGACACCATCCCAACAACAGCTCTACTAGACCCGGCCCATATCACAAACACAGCTCTACTAGACCCATCACAACACAGCTCGACTAGACACCATCCACACAGCTCTTACTAGACCCATCACCAAACCACAGCTCTACTAGACCCCATCCACAACACAGCCTACTAGACCCAATCACAAACAAAGCTCTACAGAACCCCATCACAACAAAGCTCTATAGACCGTCCCATCACAACACAGCTCTTACTAGACCCCAGCACAAAAACGCTCACAGAACCGTCCATCACGAAAAAAGAGCTTACGAGGACCCCAATCACAACACAGCTCTACTAGACCCCATCACAAAAACACAAGCTATCTAGACCCCATCACAAAAACAGCTCTACTAGACACCATCACAACACAGCTCTCTAGACCGTCCCAATCACAACACAGATCTTACTAGACCCCATCACAACACAGCTCTACTAGACCCGTACCCTCACAACAAGTTCTACTAGCCCCATCACAACACGCTCTACTAGTCCCCATCACAACAAGCTCTACTAGACACCCATCACAACCACAGCTCACTAGACCCCCATCACAAAACAGCGCGACTGACCAGCCCATCACAAAACACAGCTCTACTAGACCCGACCCATCACAAACAAAAGCTCTTACTAGACCCATCACAACACCAGCTTCTTACTAGACCCCATCACAACACAGCTCTACTAGACCAGACCCAATCACAAGCACAGCTCTAATAGACCGGACCATTCACCAACAAGCTCTATAGACCCCATCCAACACAGCTCTACTGACCCAATTGCACATCAAAGCGATACTAGACCCCATACCAACACAGCTCTAATAGACCCGGCCCCCCTTCACAACAAAGCTCTACTAGACCCCATCAACAACACCAGCTCTACTAGACCAGGACCATCACAAAAGCTCTACTCGACCCCACAACAACACAGCTCTACTAGACCCCATCACAAACAAAGCTCTTACTAGACCCATCAAAACCAAGTCTAACTAGACCCCATCACAAACCAGCTATAACTAGACCCAATCACAACAAAGCTCTACTAGACCCCATAACAACACAGCTCTATAGACCCATCACACAAAGCTTATAGACCCCATCAAACACCAGCTCTACTAGACCCGGCCCCATCACAACACAGATCTAATAGACCAGGAACCCCATCACAACACAGCTCTACTAGACCCCATCAAAACACAGCTCTACTAGACCCCATCACAACACAGCTAGATGGAACCAATCACAACACAGTCTCTACTAGGACCCCCATAAAAACACAGCTTCTACTTAGACCCCACACAACCACAGATCTACTAGACCCATCACAAAACCACCGGCTTACTAGACCAGACCCCATAACAACAAAGCTCTAATAGACCAAGACCCATCACAAACACAGCTCTAATAGACCAGACCATCACAACACAGCTATACGAGACCAGACCCATCACAACCACAGCTTACTAGACCCCATCACCACACAGCTCTATAGGGGGGACCAGGCCCATCACAACACAGCTTCTACTAGAACCCATTAAAACACAGCTCTACTTAGCACCCCATCACAACACAGCTCTTACTAGACCCCATCACAACACAACACGGGCTCACTAGACCAGACCCATCAACAACACAGCTCTACTAGACCAGACCCCAGCACAACACATCTCTACTAGACCGCCCATCACAAAACAC